GGGGTCTTGGGGAATAAAGAGCAGAATAGAAATATGGTAGTAGCAGTGACTTCTAAATAGAGAAAAAGATAGGATTCTCATTTTTGGCTACAACGAATGCTAAGGATACATCACTTCTATCCACTGCCACGTTAAGGGATATTCTCTGCAGCTGCAGGATAGGTCCAGTGTCATGATGCAAAATGAAACAAATAAATAGGAAAAGTGAGGAGGTCTTGCTGAAAGGAGTGTCAAGAGTGAGCATCTTAGTTAAAAAACCAGGAATCTGAAGGATAATCATCTCTAAATTACTGCCCAAACCAGAGGCAAATTGGTGTAGGAGTGTACAGATCAAGAGAATGAACAAGGGGAGGAAATAGCTGTTGTGGGAGAAGAGGGGTTTATTTTCACATAACAAGAAGCAATTCTAAATCAGGGAGCTGTACGAATAAGATGGGTTCCACTTGAGCTATGTTAGGACTTACATCCTAGTAGGAAAGTAAACAAGGGATGCAGCAAAAGGTTTTAATCTAGTAAGACTGGGGAAGGATCTACAAGAAACAAAACAGCCTAAGTACAAACAAAACAGAGAAGGAGAGCACAGAATGAACAACACAAGGTAAGAGATGGATATAAAAAAGACTAAAACCTTGGTTAGAGCATTACATACAGTTCGGACCATTTGTAGCAAGGCACTTGGAAAAATTCAAGTAACCACACAATATCATTGACAGACGGAAATCCTGTTTAACCAGCATGTGCTGTGGACAGAGGGAAGCAAGTTACTTGTACTCTACTTGGATTTCCAGAAGTATTTGATAAGGAGCCACACCAAAAGCTCATGGCATAAGGACAATATATTGGCATGGACAGAAGGTTGACGAGCTGACAGAACAGTAGACCAAAGTGGCCACTTTCTACTGGCATCATGGGCCAAAGGGCCTGTACTGTGCTGTACTGTTCTATGTTCTTAAGATATAAACTGAGCATGCTACAAGGCAGTGCTGGACCTAACTTTTTTTTTTTAAAACAATTGGTAAGAAACATGACCAATACAGTGAGAGAAATTAGAACTAGGGGCTATTGCTTAAAAATAAGGGATCACTCTTCAAGACAGATGAGGAGAAATTTTTCCTAGGAGCAGCACGAGTCTTTGGAACTCTCTTCCTCAAAAGGTAGCGGAAGCAGAATCTTTGAATATTTTTCAAGGGAGATATAGAAAGATTCTTGGTAAGGTAGGGAGTGAAAGGTTAGAGGATAGGCAGGATTGTAGAATAATTAAATCAGCCAAGAATTTAAGTAGCAGAGCAGGCTCAACGGGCTAAGTGGCCTACTCTTGTCTTAAATTATAAAGGTCATATGGTTGCCATTTAAAAAAAAAGGTACTGAAGAGAGTGCACTGAAAAATTTATAAGGATAATATTAGAAATACATGGTTTTACATATCAGAAAGAATTGACAGAATTGATTTCTTTACAACAAAAGAGGAAGACTCAGGGTGATCCAAGACAGATATCAAAATTATGAAAGGTTTTGATAGAGTTGACGTAAAGTGAATGTTCCCTCTCATGGGGAACAGCATAACCAGAGGCTATCAACAAAATATAACCATCAAGGAATCCAAGAGCAATGTTTAAAAAAAAAACTCTTCATTACCCAGTATTAAGAATGTGAAACTTGCTGCTACAGGGGATGATTTTAAAGTGATTAGTATACCTGTATTTGAAGCAGCACTCGACAAACGTATGAAGAAGGGTTGTCAAAATTACAATGATAGATTTTTTTGAGGAGGCTCAGGTGGATTATTAATATCAGCATGGACAGTTGTGCCAAAGGTAATAAAGCTATCTCACGAGTGTGTATATTTGATGCAATAAATATATTTCACTTACAGATTATCCATAACTGCGGTATTAAACAGAGATTGGAGATGAATTGATAAAAATATGAACATTTGCAAGCATAATCATCTTACATTTGTATAGGACCCAACATGATGGAGAATCTCTCAGAATGCTTGAAGGCTATGAAACAAAGTTAAGTAGATTTAACCAATATTTACCTACAGATAAGATATCCCGTTCTATTAATTCCGCCAGTACAGTGAACTCCAATGATTTTATCTAAAAATAAATGTGAAAGATTAGGTTAAGATTGGAACATCTCCAAGATTAAGGATATAATGACGTAAAAAGTAATACACAGCAATGTCAGCATGAAATTCTACAGGCGTGCAAAGTTCTCAGCACAGTACAAAACAAAAGGTTTATTCTCAAAACATTTTTATTGCATAAACTGGACAATGTTCAAGCACTTAAAGATATGTAATTTTTACTTTAACCTTTCTACTGCAAATATAAAGTTGGAGAAAGATCTCATTAGACTTGATTTTGTCAATTTCCTTTACTTGCAAACAACGACTTTGATTGCAATATACTTTCACATGTATTGCTCAATATCCTGCCCACATGTTTGTTTATGCACGAAGCACCACCCTCTGCGTGAAAATGTTGCCCCTTTAGGTCCCTTTTAAATCTTTCCCGCTCACCTCAAACCGATGCCCTCTAGTTTTGGGCTCCCCTACTTCAGGGAAAAAGACTTGTCTAATTATCCTATCCATGCCCCTCATGATTTTATAAACCTCAATAAGGTCACCCCACAGCCTCTGACACTCCAGAGAAAATTGTCCCAGCCTATTCAACTTCTCCCTATAGCTCAAAACCCTGGCAACATCCTCAATGTTGGTCTCAGCCAATATTAAAAATTCTTACATAAAAACTTTGACGATTGGGTGCATTCAATTTTCCCATTAAAATCTCGGCAGTACTGACGGCAACGGTATTACTCCTCCTGCCCTTCCAACATAAATTTAGGCAGTCAGAATAGTTGTGAATCAAACACAGAGCCTCTGTTACACACACAATTTAATCTGACAACTCAGGAAACAAAGAAATTTACTGCAGTTTCCAATTAGCTCAGTTTGTATTTGCATATTTTTGGCATTTTTTACTTTAAAAAAAAAACAAACTTATAACTGACCAATTGAACTGAAGTGCCTAGTATTTTCAAATATAGCCCAAAATTGAGCTTACCAGTGGAAGTTCACATTATTTAACATGTTCAAGTTGAATTTTACATGCTTAAAAACTTGTACCTAAAGGGAGAACTATTCTTTCTCTTCCTCTATGAGAAGCAAGAAGGTGGCCACAACTTGCAGTTACAACCACTAGGTTGAAAATGATACAGTGCAAAAATCTGAAACAAAAACAGAAATTGCTGGAAAAAGTCAGTCGATCTGACAGTATCTGTGGACAAAAATCCAGTAACCCCTCTTCAGAATTAGAACTAGTGTGTCTCTTAAGAATGCAATCACCTTATTAGCATTTTATTTCCTGGTTTGGCGTCAATTGCTTGACACCAGGCCTGAAGAGGCCCCAGATGACACTTTATTAACCCTAGCATTTAAGAAATATTTAAGGCACAAAGGGAGGCAATTTGGTCCATCATGTCCATGCTGGTAGGAAAAGAACTGAGAAATAAAACAAAATAACCTTGTAGATTACAGCAACTCAAGTGCACTCTCTCATTCATTTTATTTTTAAGATAAGTTTTTTATCTCTTCCATTCTTTGGGCAGCAAATTCCAGACCCTGACCACCTATTGTGAGGAACTTATTCTTCAACTCCACATTAACCCTTCTACCAATTACTTCAAATCTATGCTCCCTGGTTATTGACCTCTTTAGTCATCGAAGTAGGTCTTTCCTATCCACTTTATCTAGACTCTCAGTTTTACACAACTCAGTGCAATTTCCTCTTAACTTGTCTGTTCCAAAGGTAACAAACTGCCTTTTAAAATGTTTCAGTCAAAAATGATCCATTGTAGCCAAATCCTGTCCTGTGTAGCCGCCGCCAAAGCCACCTCCGCCACCGCCACTTACCTTCCTCAGAGGCATTACCTCTCAGTTCTACAAATTGAATTCCTATCTCTATTTCTCTCCCCACCTGACCATTCCTGAAATTATCACTGAAATCTTCCTGCAGTCCACACTTTCAGTTATTGGTCATCCCTAATTGTCCTTCAACCAAGTGACGTGCTAGGATATTTCAGAAGGCAGTTAAGAGTTAAGCACACTACCAAGTCTAGAGTTACATTTAGGCCAAACCAAACAGGATAGCAGATTACCTTCCGTAAAGGCCACTCGTGAACCAGGTGGATTTTTATGACAAGTTAATGATTGTTTCACAGCCAAAACTGAGACTGGCTTTCAATTCCAAACTTCATCAGATTTAAAGTGGAATTTGAAGCCATATCCCCAGTGATTTGGCCTGGTCTCAGGATTACTAGACCACTCCTACACCACTTTCTCATTATTCTGTCACATCACAATTCACACTCAGAACATTCGCAATTTGTGTTCTTCTCATATCCCTATTTGACCATTCAATGCTACCATTCACCTGCTTTTTGTTGATATTCATGCTCAATTGCATTGCATTCACTGGGTGAACACATACCATTATAGCCAAACATTAGATCGGCTCATTCCTTACGTGCAGGGAGAAGAACACAAAACACAAGGAAAAGTTGTCAAGGTGAACATCCACACAGTACCAATTGCAGGAGAGGAAGCTACAGAGATCAGTGGTTTCTTTTAGCTAATGACAAAATCAATTAGAACGTACAGATCACACAACACCCAGCTACGTTTTGATCCCTGTAGGGAGAGAAATGTAAGAAGTTGCAACATTTTTACCCTGGCAGTACTAATTCAATACAATTCAGCACTTTTATCACAAGCATAGCCTTCAAGTATGCAGGAGTCCACTGACCTTGCGGATAACAAATCCTTAGAGGACATGAGTTGTTCTGAAGGTGCACTGCACTGAACTCATGTTTACCATGCAGCAGACTTACTTCGAGACTTGTTGGACAGATTATTGGGTTTTTACCTGGTGACTCGCTTCACAAGGAAACTGGAGTATGCACTATAGAAAGCCAGCACCTCAGGGCACAGGTTTGCCCAAATCAAGCTTGGCAAGGCAGATGCTGTACTCTAGAACCTTTGACAAAAAAGGATATTTCCAAGCAGCAGAGAACAACATTTTGACAAGCCTTTAAGCACATTACCAACTGTACAGAATAGAGCAGTCAGCCTCAAGCTTGCAGGAAAATGTCATAGGACATTAATCTGAAGCCTTCTTGCACACATGGAGCAGAATGCAGTTGACCACACCAAGTGAGCCTACACATGCCTCTCTGCTCTGGATGCACCCCTAGATTCACATCAACGTAGGTCACGCCAGGATTCCAAATCACTATTCAACTCCATTTACTTAAGTTACCAAAGCACCAACACTTCACATTATGCAACACAAGCAAGCTGCTTCCCTCTACATCATCCAACAGACTCCTGGTCCCAGAGGTTGTCACTTGATGACTCTGTGGGATTCAGAGACCCAAACATCATCTCTCTTATTCTGACCCCAAATATTCATTTTTTAGAGGAACACCTTCGTATAGAATTGAAGGTCAGACTTACGATTGATTAGGGTTTTTCTTTTCAGCACTTCGGTCTTCTTGGATGTCATCTCAAACATCTGCACCAGCCTAGAGACTGTTAGCTATCCACTCATTGACCTAGCCATCCCCATCAAGTGCTGTCAGCCCAAAGGAGATGGTCCACATAACAGACTGGGTCTCATCCAAATAGGAAATGTTGCGGAGAATAGCCTGTGGAAGAGGGCTGGGTACAATTCAGTATAAACTAGCTACAAAATAAAAGATACTACTCAGGCCACTTCTCTTTACTCTGAGGCAAGGTGCTCAAATTGTCATGCATGTATTAGGTTGAGTCATTCACAATGTTCATTATCATGTGGATGATGGGGGTGGTGGGGCTGTTGGCAATGCCATAGACCTTGCAAAGCTCCTGCCAGATCTTGCTCTTGAAGTTGCACCCCTGATTACTGTGAATCTGACATGGAACACCGAAATGAACAAACCAAAAAAATCGAGCACTTGCACTTTGGCTACAGTTGAGACCCTTTGATCATAAATGGGAACGGCCTGTGAAGACATCTGAGAGTACAAGAACATGCTCAGCCCCATTCCTACTAGGGTCAAGGACCATAAACCTGTGCAAATACCTCTAGAGGTCTCTTGGAAACCAGGAATCACATGCTGGGGTGAGATTGCTTTCCTGCTTTGATAAAGATTGCACATCTCAATTCTGAAAGTAATATCTAAAGCCAACCTGGTCAGGGCAGTTGTCTTTTCTGTTGCTTGGTGTCTTGTTTGATCATGAACTGCCACCAACACTTGATACTTGAGGCTATTGTGAAGGAAGAGTTGCTTAACTTCTCTGTCGTTAACTAGAGGTCTCTACCCTGCTCACCGATCTCATTACAGCACCTCAGTTTGTGTGCCGGTTTAGACTCTGGATTGGCAGATGTTAGGCCTTCCAGTAATGGTGCAATCTGCAGAAGCCCATACAGGTCAGCTGAAGCTGTCAGAAGTTCTCTTTTTAGCTAAATAGCAAAGGTTGGCCACTCCAGGCTCTACCCATCTGGACCGCATTTGGATCTCACTCATAAGCACATTGGTGACGCACTGCTGAATCTTAATCCAATTGTCATAGGGAATTGTGGTTGATTGCAGCTTTCGACTTGAGGCATAGGCACAGCAGCAGACACAATCCCTCCTACTAGGCAGGGCTGAGTTTTCTCTCATGGTCAGTCATCTAACTAAGGGCATCAGTATTTATACTACTTTTCCCTGATCTGCTAGTAAAGGTAAAGTCACCATACTCCTACTTGACTATAGGGCTGGTTTTTCATTAAAAACCAGAGAGATGACTGGTAATGGTTTATCCTGACCGTTAACTTGTCTCCGGGGAAGAAGTTGAGATGGAGGGTCCTTTCATGCTAACCTCAGCTGGTATGGGAATTGAACCCAAGTTGTTGGAATCATTCTGCCTTGCAAACCAGACATCCAGCCAACTGAGCTGACCAACTGTCTAGATTAAAACTTGTGTTCAGCAGCCCACTGGGTCCCTATTGCTCTCAAGTTGGCAGATGTTTGAAAGTAGCCAAGTTGGCTATTTTCCCTGACAGCACTGGTGGCCATATTGTTGAGGGCAGTCTTGTTTAAAATGCCAAGCCCCACCTCAATTCCAACACTTTTAGCAAGGACTAGGTCTGCGCATGCTGTGTCGGGATCTTTTCTGCCTGCCTCTTCGGCAGAAGATTTACAATGATGCCAACAGTCACATCTTGACGATAGTCCCTTTCCTGGTCCTAAGAGTTCAATCTTTCCCCATGATTTGGATGATGTGACCCCACATGTCAAAAACTTAAGATAATGTAGTTTTGTCACTATCAAACCTCAACTCTGACATTTAAATCTCACTATTTTTGCTAGGCAGTCCTTCAGTATCCTGTCTCTGGTAGATTGGAAGGAGGGATCCAGGACGATACCATTGAACAAACTCTCCAACCCCAAAAACAGAAACCAGATCCTTCTCTTCAGTCAGTACCTCTTCGTAGTATTTCCTGATGAGCTTTCCTGCACAGATGTTCCATCACAAATACCGCCTGCTCACTCACGTTGAGACCCCAGTTGCAATAAACAGCTGGTCAATTAGAAAAGAATATATTTTATTGTCACTTGTACTACAGAGGTCTAGGAGTACAGGGAAAAGTTTTTACAATGGCTGCTTTTTAATGGCACCATCTTAGGTACAAGTACCTAGGTACAAATCTTAGAGTAAAATAAAAAATTGTTCTTATACAAACAGGATTAAAGAAAAGCATAAGCTTTACTTACATATACAATTACCACATAGTGAAAGGTCTTACAGTCTGATAACAGCAGCTCAGCATGTGGCACTAGGCTCAAGTCCAGCAATTGTCTCATTTCGCTCTAGCCTATAGTCCACTCCTCATCGACACTCAGCAGCAACCGGGTAAGTCGTGCTGTACCAGGATTTGTACCTCAGCCCCTCCATCACGCTCGGGCTGCCTGCTCCCACTCTCGCCGCCGGTCCCCGGGACTCCGTGCCTGAGCGATGCTCCGGGGCTGCTTCCCCACGTGCTGCTGTAGGGCTCACTACTCTGGGGATTTGCTGCCAGCTCCAATGCCGAGGGAAGATAATAAGAAGAAAAGAGAAGAGAGAAAAAGGAGACCAAAAGACGGAAAAGGAAGAAAGGAGGCAAAAAAAGAGCAGTTGGAGCAGAAGAGATCCATTAGGAGCAACCCACTTTGCCGCCATCTTGCAATTGGCAAGTCAACTGGGTATGTCTGGTCTTCCCCTGCTTTCTACTGACTGGCCAAAAAAAATGTGCGCGACCTGGAGTATTGCTTCCTTCGACTGTAGCGTCAAGGGAACACATACAGGTGAGCTGAGCCTCTGCCTGGATTTGGCCTAAAGTTGAATTCCCTCTTACAACACCCAAGTCACCAATGATCCTAGAGCAGCCTCAGCCTCTCTTATAGACTGTGGCAGTTTCAACTCCTGTACATCTGTTCAATCTTGGCCTAGTGCCTTTCAACCTCATCCACCATTTGATACATTTGCAATGGAACCTTGGCAACAATGCCAGAAATATAACATGAGATTTGACTACACCAATGGCCCAAGGATTGTGAAGAAAGAATACTGTATTCTATTGCATCAGGTTATTACAAATACAAATGGGAAATTAAGGATAAACAAACTTTATACTCAATTTGCATGAAATGACTATTTGTGTTAACTTCTCTAGGCAAAGAAAATGTCTTTTCAGGAAGAGAGGGTCGATGGAAAGAGAAGAGTCCACTCAGCTGTTCCAACTGCTTTACTTCACCACTGCGACTTGCTGGAGGTCCTGTTACACTTACATTCTAGCAGCTTCCACTCGAGCTCTGGAGGGTAGGGAATTTGGGCTACCACAGGACAAAGATATAATTGCAACCGTACACATGTTGCAGATGTATCCTTTTGGGAATGCATAATAGCTGCACATTGATGGATTGACCACAATACGAATAGGCTATTCAGCCTGTTAAGCTTGATCTGTCATTCAGTAGGATCATAGCTGATCTGCAAATGTCATTCCCTGTACCCATCTTCTCATAACCCTTCCTTTGGATAACAAAAATGCATAAATATCAAAGATTTATAATCTGATCTATCAATTTGTGGAACCAAACATTGTGTAGATGCGCTTTCTAATTTCATTCCTGTAAGATCTGGCTCTAATTTTTAGATTATTTCCCCATTATCCTAAACTTTTGGGAGATTATGAGTACTCCTTCTGGATTATAGTGGATACACAAATTGCCAAGTACGCACAACGATGCGCTGTACCTAAAGGGAAACCAGTCAGAGCTACAAATTGGAGGACCCAAACATTCCAATTGGTAACACTGCAGGAAAAGTTCACATAATTGCTGATCTTGATACATCTTATGTACTTGTGGTCCATTCCCGGAAAATTCTGAAGGCATAACAAATTTGAAGCCAGTGGTCATTTTGACTGGTTCCAAATCTAGGACAGCACACGACAGTTGCAGATGCCTACCAACATCTGACATAACAATTCATGTGTTATGATACAACAGCCTTGTGACGTGTCAAGAAAGCTTAGCTTCCACCTTTATTCTGCTACTGCTGTCTAACTGCAGCTCGTTAAATAGCAGGCTGCAGCTACTCATGCTGTCGCTTGTTCAACCCGTTGCTCCTCCAGAGATTTAATCTAAAAGTAGCAAAAAAGTGTCACTCATTCTGCTGTGGTTCACAAAACCAGTGAAGTGTGAAAAAAGCACTCAGCATAAATACTGTGAACAGATCCTTCCCCTAACAGTAGCATAGAAAGCAGATTTTAGTACAGAGTTATTGCTGTATTTCTAGGAATTACTATTAGCTCCTGCATTGCCTGTTGTATTATTACTTTGCTTTCAATGGAGACTTCCATCATCCCAAAAATCCATTGGTTCAACATGACAGAATGCTTGCAGTATCCCTCCAACTGAATGATAACCATGTTAAACAAGCAACAAAAACAGAAGTTGCTGGAAAAGCTCAGCAGGTCTGGCAGCACCCGTGAAGAGAAATCAGAGTTAATGTTTCTGAGGAAAGGTCACCGGACCCAAAGTGTTAACTCCGATTTCTCTTCACAGATGCTGCCAGACCTGCTGAGCTTTTCCAGCAATTTGTTTTTGTTCCTGATCTACAGCATCCAGTTTTTTTTTCTGGTTTTTACGTTAACAAGCAACCCACCTAGATTACTGACTCTCAAGTTGCTGAAAACCATACTGCACTTAACCATTGACTTTCCTGCTCCTCAGATGCTGTGATCTGCTGTACTTTTCCAGCTCCACATTTAGTTACTCTAGCTTCCAGCAGCTGCAGTTCTGACTGTCTCCTATTTTCTAGATGGTTAGAGTAGGCTGCTTAATGTACTCACATTTGTGCCCAACATAACCTCCCTCAACTGTTCCTCCAGGTTAAAATTATTCCCAATTCTTCGAATGCATCAGTTCAGTATTTTCCCTCAGACATTAAAGAACTATACCATTTAAATGGCATTCAAATTGATGATAATAACTGTGAATACTTACCATTATCTGCATTTTCCCACAAGAACTTCCTGACTCTCCGTTTAAACTGCAGAATGGTAGCATCGTCTGGCACTTCATGTCCAACAGTGTAGAGTTTTTGATATTGTACACTTTTGGGCAAATCCTTTACCAGAGAAGAATATATACAAACATGTAAACTGACCATTCAATTTCACTGAAGGCCATAATTATGTTTCATGCTTAATTATGTTTATTTTATACCTTCTCAGTGTAATAGCGAGTCGTATACGTCAAGTCAATAATTAATCCAAGTTCCTCATTCTGTTCTTTGATCTTGGCTATTAGGTCTTTTGGAGAAAACTTTTGATTAGCTGTAAGCCTTTGGCTTATAGCCTGCAAAAAGAAAATATAATAAATGTCCATAATTAAGTTTTGGCTTGTATTGAGAATCAGACGTATTTTCTTCAACAAGGAAGGAGGGTTCGAGTCTGGGAAGTGAACTGGGCCAGGGAGGTAAACAAAGTAGAAGACTGATTAGCAAACAAGAACCATAAGTAGGTTCCATGTATGTAAAAAAAAGGAAACAAGAAAACAACAACAACAACAACAGAAAATTTCAACTGAAGATAATAAGTCCAGAGGAATGGATAAGAAAATGTTATTACTAATAGACAAGCAGACAAAGAAAACTGTCCTTGGATGAGAGATTTTTTATTAAAATATGACATAAAATCAGGTGTTATTAGCACAAAATAAAAATCAGCTGAAACACAGAAAACAGATACTTTGTAGTGGTTTGAAAGAACCAAGTCATTTCAGAGGACTAGGTATTTCTGAGATCAACCATGTTGCTGGGGGTCTGGAGCCGCACGTAGGCTAGACCAGGTAAGGGGAGCAGACTTCTCTTCTAAAGAGGCATCAGTGAACCAGATTTTAATGACATGTACCAATGTTTTTTTTTTCAAAAACAATCAATCAATCATGCGATGTGGATGCCACTGACTAAACCAGCATTTACTGCTAATTCCCAACTGTCCTTGAGAAGGTGATGGTGAACTGCCTTCTTGAACCACTGAAGTCCATGTGGTGTAGGTATACTGAGTGCTGTTCAAGAGGAAATTCCAGGATTTTGACCAGTGACAGATGGAAAAATCAGTTTCAAGCCAGGACGCTATTTGGCTTGGAAGGGAACTTGCAAGCAATGGCATTCCCATCTGTATACTACCCTTGTCTTTCCAAGGAGGGTGCTGTCTCAGGAGCTTAGTGAGTTTTGCAGCACATCTTCAAGGCAATACACAATGCTGCTGCGATGTGTTGGTGGATGAGGGATTAAAATCTGAAGTTATTAAATGGAGTGTCAATCACGTAGGCTGCTTTGTCCTGGATAATGTCAAGTTTTTTTGGGTGCTGTTGGAGCCACAATAAATGTAAACAAGTGGAATTTGTTAGATTATTGTGTCTCACTATCATGATATCTTTAAGGCACATGCTCACGAGGTTGGATTCTTCAATGTCACAATATCCACACCTAGTTTCTGATGCTACAGATGATATAAGCATTGCCGTATCAGTTTAAAAAAACCTTTGCAAAGAAAAACTCACTCCTGAAACTCTACTCCATGACGCTCCTGATTTGTGCCTTGTAGATTATGGACAAGTTTTGAGGAATCATGAGGCAAATTATTTGTTGCAGAATCGCAAACTCTGAACTGCGATTGTGGCCACAGTATTTATATGGCTGGAGGCTGGATCAGTTCAGTTTTGCGTCAATGAGAATCTCAAGGATGTTGATAGTGAGAGATTCAGCATCAGTAATGCCACTGAACGTCAAGAGGAGATTGGATTGTCCACAGTTGAAGATGGTCATTCGCCAGTACTTGTTTAGCACAACTGTTACCTACCATATTGCAGGCCAAACCTGCATTCGAGATGGACTACTTCAGCATCTGAGATGCTGCAAATGGTACTGAACATTTTGTACAGATCAGTGACCAGCTCTACCTCTGGTATTATGAAGGGACAGTCATTGATGAAGCTGCTAAGACTTGACCTGAGGAACTCCTGTAGTGAAGTTCTGTGGCTAGAGCAATTGACTTTTAACAAACACAACAATATTCCTTTGCGCTAGGTATCACTTCCAACAGGGAGAGGTTTTCCCCAATCCCAATAAATCCAGATTTGCAAGGACTCCTTGATGTCACACTCTGTCAAATGCTGCCTTGTTGCTGATGACCCTCAAAAGTTAAGCTCTTTGTCATTGATTGGATTAAGGCTGTAATGAGATTGGGAACTGAGTGTGCCTAGCAAAAGCCAAATTGAGTAACAGAGAGCAGGTTATTGTTAAGTGTAATTGAGTAAATTGATGGTACTATCGATGACACCTCCCACCATTTTGCTGATTGTTAAGAGCAAACTGGGGTGGAAATTTCAAAAAGTTGATCTGGAGGTCACGTTTTCTCATTGATACACCATTTCATCACAATAATATTCTGGGACCAATTAGATAGAATGAATTTTATTTGAAGGGGATGAAAAAGGAAAAAAACTCATTATTTTACTTTAAAGCCATTATTAAATACTTAAAATACACAAAAAGAGTAATATTCTTACCCCTTTCAAAGGAACTTTGAAAGCAACAAATCTAGTTCTTGGTATACGTTTCCCAACTGGTATAATGCCTCGCCACCTAGTTTAAACAGATGGGCAAACAAACTGTCAACTATAATGATATCTTGCTTGGCATACGAGTACAACTGACAGAAACTACATTTAGCAAATGTTTAAGGTTGTTTAGCCAACTGAAATAAAGTTTAAGTTCAACTGAGTGCAATAACAATGTGAAATTAGATTGTGATACAAGTAACAGTCTTTGTACTGTACAACACAGTAAATTTGAACTGAGAGATCAGGATGATACACAAATCCAGCTCAAAAATATGTAAAATTAGTCATATATCTCGTGTAAACATTTTAATTTAGTTCTCCCATAGGAAAATTACAATAGATAAACTGAAGACAAATTATGGACCAAAAAGAGTTTATTTTTATTTTGTAGAGTCAGACCAGAAGATTACATTTTGTGGTGAGTAAATTACAAATAAACCCCAATTTTTTAAAAAAGGTACTTTCACTTCAAATAAAAGCAGAAAATGCTGGAAATACTCAGCAGGTCAGGTAGCATCAATGCAAAACAAAAGATTACCTTTTGGTTGAAGAATTATTCATTAGTTCTGATGAAGGATCCATTAAACAGACATGTTAAATCGTTCCTTCCACAGATCTTGCAAACCTGCTGATTATTTTGAGCAACCTGTTTTTATGTTAAATTTTCATGATCTTCAGTATTTTAGTTTTTATATAATCATCCTTTTGAAGGCTGTTTGAAGCAAAACTATATTTTGTACCCCATTGTTGATCTCTACATATAGCTTTAATAGAAACTTCTCTTTGCACATTATATTTGATAATAATTGGAAAGTCTGGCTACAAGATCAGTCTTAAGAAGGGCCACAAAGGCAGAAGTGGAATTGAAGAAATATGGACCAAGGTACTTTCACCATGGGCTGAGTGAAAGCAGCAGAACACGAGAGCAAGGGGTGAACAGTGTGGGAGCACAGAGAGAGAAAAAAAATCAGAACTAGGACACTGCACAAGGGAGCAAAATAAAAGGTTGGAGGAAGTTGTAGAGATAGGATTGTCAAGGCCATGGAGTGGTTTCAAAATACTTACTGTTACAATTGTGACAATTTTTTTACAGTTTACTCAAACCACAGAGTAATCTTCATGCTAAAACATCACAAATTTTGTGCTCATGTAATATTTATAGCAACAGCATAATATTGGCTTTGGTTAAAAAAAGTTCATGCTGTTCTAAATATTCATAATAGAAACATTTGCATGATTTATAAACACCTTAAAGATAAGAAAGAATACCATGCAAAACAAATTATGAAATAGACTTTAATGTGGTTATGTTGAAAACAATGTGAAATGGAATACTTGTTGTATTAAAAAAATGAAATAAGGAGCAAAATACACAGAGGGACAGAACACCAAATGGATAAAACATTTTAGGACCTGGAACATAGTAAACAACAGGAGTCAGATTGTGAACTAATTTAACTGAAGATGATACTGTACTTACAGGAAAGATGGGCTCTCACTATTATATCAGCTTATCCTCAAAGAATGGAATTTCAATTTATTTCTCATGTTTGTTTCAAGTCTTTAACATTATTTGTGCACTTTTTATTGAAGTCTAACTGCTCATAAAACCAAATCTAGTACAGATTTTTAGTGGGCATAGGTGTCGAGTGAAACAAAAGCAACAAAGTGCACCAACTACATATCGTTCCATGCAGTTGGGCAAATTTTAACCCAAACATTTCTTTTATTTTATTCCGACATGGCTTCTCAGTTGATTAAACACCATATACAGCAAGCTTACGCCTCCAATACTGAAACAAATAACCTCTTTGTTTTTTTGAAAAAGTTAGAAATATCAAACATATGAAGCAATACCACCTTGCAAACTATAATAAAGTTACTATAAACCACATGAAGACCAGATTGAATTGCAGAAAGTCTGAGATACTATGACACAAGTTCAATTATTTAATGCAAGTGTAAGGACCATTACAAAAAAAAAGTATATTTGAAATTGATCACATCTGTCAATTTTCTGTGGGAGGCCAATATACAAAGATTAATTGCATCAGGGATCTGTTATGATGTATAGTTTTTAGGTCATACAAAATTTTGGGATGAAACTTACAAAAATTGCATGTTAGAAAGATCAAGAACTATGCTAGAAGTGATCTGAGCTGCAACATACTTGGTCCCATGAGATGAAACAAGAAATACAAAGCTTGCAATTTTTAAGCATCAAGTGTGAGCATGAATTGTATTTATTTTTCTGTAAATTTGTGCAGGAATATTGTTTCATCAAATAATCAAAATAGCTCAAGTTATGATTTATTATAGTATAATTCTAACAACGCGCAGTTTTGCAAGCGCACATTAACAGCACTTACAGAATAATAAAACTGCTTAAGTAATTAACAAGGTTAAGTGCCAATTTAATATAAGTGTTTACAGTAATGGAATAAAGATTGTTAAGCTAGACGGGTGTGGAGTGGAGAAGTCCTACTTGCATTGTTCAGTGAATTTATCTTGGATTTATGCTCAATGATTATTAAAAAGAAGTAATTTGTTTGTTGTTAGAACATGAAATGGGAGATCAGACAGAAATCAAAAGGAGATTGTTCTTTTAAAAAAATAAATATTTTAAACAACTGGACAATTTAAAAAGGATATAGAGAAAGAACATTGGATTAAATTAAGTGCATGCATTTTCAGAAAACCAGCACAGGCATAACACTGGACGGGTACAAAAGTAAACAAGAACTACCACATTCAGGATACAATTTATACATATGTTCAAAAATAAGGTTCATGTTCAAGGAACTTGTTAGAATTTTGTGTTTTCATGCTTTAGTACGAGGCAGGGAGCCTTTCACTAAATACTTAAGTACTCAGTACAAAACCTATCAGAAATTGTAGTCCTGTTTCTAGTTTCTTAAAAACTAAAAAATACTACTATAACCAAGAGGATGAAGACCGAAGATAAATGGAATCTCACTTCTTTCATTGTATCCCCGATTTGACCCAGTACTATTCATATAGAATCCCCAGCCCCTGTAACAATTCTGTTAGGTTACTGAACTCCAGGTTTCCAAATTTCAGAATGTGGTTTCACAGTCAGTCATTCTTCCAGAGAGGGGTGATAACATTTTCCATGTGCCATAACAAAGGAAATAGCAGAAACAGTCCAAAAGATCTAACGTCAATGCTCTTTTAGTCATATCAGATTGTGAGGAGCTTTGCTCCTATTGTAGTGTCCCTGCATGAGGTAGAATGTCCTATGCATTTCAATAAAGTTCATTTCATAAGCAAGTCCCAAAAATGCTGCAGTTGAGAAATTTTTTTTATTGATCACAAATTATTTCAGCTAAATTAAAGCTTACAGGATAGTCTCTTTTGATCCATTTGTTTAGCAATCTAAGCAAGAGGTAAATAGAAAAGCTCTAATATTTCAATGAAAGATGCTTCTTAAAAACTTCTCTCCAATACTTTTTAAACAAAGAAATAACACGTGCTATAATTTTTGAATATGACAACAGCTCTTGCCCTAATTTGGAAGTATTTAGCTCCGTGGAAAAACAGCAAGTCAGACCTAGTGCAAAACCACATTATCCTGCAGACTGAACAATCCGAATGCTGAAATTCTACTCCCTGCCCTTCAGCCAAAAAATCCATAATCATGGATTTTTTTTTGGGAAAACATGTTAAATAGATCTTCTTTGATCAGAAGCACAAATTTCTGCAATACTTCAAGCTTCCTTAACTCAAGTGACAAGGCCATCCCTTTATGTACCAACAAGGAGAGAAAGGTCTGAGCATGATCAACAAAGCGGTGTTATTCCCATGTAAGATGGGTCAGTAACTGCATTAATGGGGTGTCAATAATAATGGCTCAAAATTCCACCCTCTTTTCTAGTAAAGTGCTGTTCTCCTCAGAGTGCTAACTTTTCACACTTTTTCTGGCTTCCAAATTGAAAAAGAATTTCTGAAGTGAAGATATAGGAACTCTGACCGAATCAATGGACAGTTCGATGTTTTGTATTAATATTTCATAGGACAAGAGAGATGATATTAAATTGGACTAGGATGTATATCAAGAATGACACACTTCACATTCCTGGTTTTAAGAGCATCTTAAGCTCGTGTTAATTCTTCAAAGAATCACAGTCATCTTTACACAACAAACCTGCTTACGTTGTTCCAAAAAAAGTAGAGAAATCAATACAGTTTAGATTTATTTTCTGGATAGCATACTTATGCTAATGTCTGATCTTGGTGCACCAACAAATATGCAATTACAAATGATATTTCATTAATATTTGTTTCAACTGAAAAAATCATTTTTATCCTTTTGTATTCATCCATTTTGAAAACCCTTAACTCAAAAAGGCAAACAACTACATATTTCCAGCTATCTTGTGCAGCAACACAATTTGCTAACATCCAAATAATTTAACTTAATCTGCTGCACATCCTGTCATAATCAGAGAAAAGGTGCAGATAAAAAGTGACTACAAAGAAAGTTTTAACTGAGCTAGGTAAAGTAACAATTTTTTAATCAAAACTTTAGGGCAAAAATGAACAGGTCATGAAATTAAGCTGCCTTTCAGGAAACAACTTTTAAATAATCTATTAAAATCATAATTACTGGTACTATCCTGCACATCCACTTCTCAATTTGGTTATATGGTTCAGGTTTATTACATAGTCCTCAGTTGCATTACCACTTTGGAACTACGACCACTGCTTCTGTTCATAGCAGTGTCAGCATGTCATTTTACTGTTCTACATTCATACGTTTAAGATTAAAATTTTAGATTACAAGATAAAAATATTTCAATTTGGTCTAATGGCTTTGTTAAAGCATTAGACTCACAGACTAGACCAGTAATCCAGCAATGTTATAAACATCAAAACTGTGTATTTTTGCAAGTGTAAATACTTATGGTTGAATTTGCCAAATTAACATGTTTTGGCGGGAGAAAAACCTATCAGCAGAGTCTCTAAAGGTGCCCTGATTGCATACACTGTAACCTAACAACT